ATGCAGTATTCCTGCCCCATTGGTGTTAGCAATGGTGTCAGACAGGGTGGGATTTTGTCTCCAGATTTATTTAATTTATATGTTGCAGATGACCTGGTGGTCTTCAGTCCAAGTAGTGCTGGTTTACAGCAGCTCCTTAATATATGCACTGAATAAGGTGTGCAATGTGGTATAAAGTACAATGCAGGTGAAAGTGCTATTTTGCTATGTAGAGCCAAGCAGGATTAAAAAAGCTACATTTTCCAGTGTTTAAACTGTCAAACAATGTTTTTGAAGTTTATAAAAAGGTGAAATACCCTGGTCGTTTTATTACTGATCAAATGAATGATGATGATGATGATGATGATATATACAGACAATGCTGTAAGCTCTATGCTCAGGCAAACACAACTGCACTGTTTCTGAACCAGTAAAAGTGGCATGTTTAAAGCATATTGCACACCGCTCTATGCTGCCCCCTGTGGTCATCTTAAAGAGGGGGAGTGCCAGTCAGATGTGTGTAACTGCAGGTATTTGTACTTTTAAAGCACTTTTAAGGAAGTTAATGTTCACTTTTTTCCTTTATATGCTGTGCTTTTTCTGTGCAATCGTGGAATTATGTGTGTTAATAAAGCTTGATTTCGATACAGCAGATGAACAGTATCTTAAAGTCATGTCCTTAAGAAATGAGAAGAAAGTCCCAGTCAGACCTGACACAGGACCTGAGAGTCAACTGCTCCTTCAGTTCATTCAGTGTTCATCACAAATATATTGAGCTATGACAAATGACATAAGAACTGGACTGAAAATCAGTGACAATGATGAATCCATATTTTACTTTTTTTTTTTACACAACAATGGATTTATGAATATAGAAGAGTACTATCAGTTTTTTTTTTATCTGAAAAACATCTGATTGGCAAGATAATCATTTTTCAGTATGATAATGACCCCAAACAGACTGCAATGCAGTAAAATTATTCATTTTTGAACTGTTAGCTTTTTACTCACAACTTAAGGGTGCATTGATCTGTTATTTGGATCTGATATCGACCCAGCACTGACCCAAAATCGGATACATTTCTTTAAAAAAACAAACAAAAAAAACCTACCCCTTAATATCTAATCTCTAAAAAAGGTCCATCTTTATTTTAGTTATTTTTTTTACTTCATGATCCACCAGCCTAAGAACTAACAAAGCACAGAGAAAGCTTTGCAAGAATTTCAAGCTTTCTACTCCATCAGCTTTTCCAGGTATACTTGGGGTAGTTTTTAAATATATATTAGTATTCAGAAAAGACTCTCACACAGCTGAAATGAAACTAAAGTAAAGAAGGTGAATAAGTGTGAATACCTTCTTTCTCTCATTTTGATTTCATTTATGTTGGTCCTGTTGTCAGGTGTTATTTTACTATGACATACCAGTTCAGTACATTTATATCCTTGCACTGGGAGAAACACCCCTCAACCATGCTACAAGTGTTGACATTGCATAGTTTGTCCATCAGGGGGCACATCCATCCATCTTCATCCGCTTTGTCCAGGGCCGGGTCGCGGGGGCAGCAGCCTAAGCAAAGAGGCCCAGACCTCCCTCTCCCCAGCCACCTCCTCCAGCTTATCCGGGGGAATACCAAGGCGTTCCCAGGCCAGCCGAGAGATATAATCTCTCCAGCGTGTCCTGGGTCTGCCCCGGGGCCTCCTCCCGGTGGGACATGCCTGGAACACCTCACCCAGGAGGCGCCCAGGGGGCATCCTTGTCAGATGCCTGAACCACCTCAGCTGGCTCCTTTCGATGTGGAGCAGCAGCGGCTCTACTCTGAGCCCCTCCCGGATGGCCGAACTTCTCACCCTATCTCTAAGGGAGAGGCCAGCCACCCTTCGGAGGAACCTCATTTCTGCCGCTTGTATCCGCGATCTCGTTCTTTCGGTCACTACCCACAGCTCGTGGCCATAGGTGAGGGTAGGGACGTAGATCGACCGGTAAATTGAGAGCTTCGCTTTTACACTCAGCTCCCTCTTCACCACGACGGACCGGTGCAGCGTCCGCATTACTGCAGCTGCAGCCCCAATCCGTCTGTCGATCTCCGGCTCCCTTCTCCCATCACTCGCGAACAAGACCCCGAGATACTTGAACTCCTCCACTTGGGGCAGGAACTCATCCCCGACCCGGAGTGGGCACTCCACCCTTTTCCGGCTGAGAACCATGGCCTCAGATTTGCAGGTGCTGATCCTCATTCCCGCTGCTTCACACTCGGCTGCGAACCGTTCCAGTGCGAGCTGGAGGCCCTCACCCGATGAAGCCAACAGAACCACATCATCTGCAAAAATCAGAGATGAGATTCTGAGGCCACCAAAGCGAAAGCCCTCCGCCACTTGGCTGCGCCTAGAAATCCTGTCCATAAAAATTATGAACAGAACCGATCAGGGGGCACATACTCCACAAATACAACAACCAGACCATTAATGACTAATTGATGTTGCAATGATACAAAAAAATAAGTTTGTCCTAGTAAGGACTCATAAATAACTACATATAATGAATGCTATGGAAATCTATTTGTTTTGTGTGCCTAAAGAAAAAATATAGATTGATTTATCACCAAATATTGGCACCTATATAAGCTGGGCTATAATATTTTATTAAATACACTTATTTGTTATACTGTATTTGTTTAACTCAAGAAAACAGTGTTTAAATCAACCTTTGATTTTTCCTTAATACATAAATAAATGATTCTCCGTCTCTTGCCAAGAGTGACGAATACAGCATATTAATCTAATCAAAGGAGCTTGCAAAGAAAAGCGTCTGGACTTCTTTAAGTTACTTGAAGATGTTTCACCTCTCATCCGAGAAGCTTCTTCAGCTCTAAGGTCAAATGGTGGGGAGTCCCAGATATAAACCTAGTGGGAGTTTCCCCCCACAGAGGGACAAAAGGACCCCCTGATGATCCTCTAATCCACTGAGCCAAGGTGTGAAACTGGGTGTGGGTCCCAATCAGCCAGAGTTTCAGGTGAGTTCATTGTGAAACCTGGCCCCACCTTATCATGCGAATTCCTGAGGTCAGATGGCCCAGGATGTGAGTGGGCGTTAAGGCGTCTGGGAAGGGATCTCAAAACTGGATTATAGATGGCAGAGAGTTGGTGTCATAAACCCCCGCCTCTGTTCAAAGATGGTCGCTCACAGTGGACATAGATGGCTTCTTTCACTCCTCTTTCAAACCATCTGTCCTCTCTGTCCAAAATGTGAACATTGGCATCCTCGAAAGAGTGTCCTTTATCCTTAAGATGCAGATGGACTGCTGAGTCTTGTCCTGTGGAGGTGGCTCTTCTGTGTTGTGCCATGCGCTTGTGAAGTGGCTGTTTGGTCTCTCCAATGTAGAGGTCTGGGCATTCCTCGCTGCACTGTACAGCATACACCACATTGTTAAGTCTGTGTTTTGGCGTTTTGTCTTTCGGGTGAACCAGTTTTTGTCTGAGCGTGTTGCTGGGTCTGAAAAGCACCGGGATGTCATGCTTGGAGAAAACTCTCCTGAGTTTTTCTGATACACCGGCTACATAGGGGATGACAATGTTGTTGTAACAATGTGGTGTATGCTGTACAGTGCAGCGAGGAATGCCCAGACCTCTACATTGGAGAGACCAAACAGCCATTTCACAAGCGCATGGCACAACACAGAAGAGCCACCTCCACAGGACAAGACTCAGCTATCCATCTGCATCTTAAGGATAAAGGACACTCTTTCGAGGATGCCAATGTTCACATTTTGGACAGAGAGGACAGATGGTTTGAAAGAGGAGTGAAAGAAGCCATCTATGTCCACTGTGAGCGACCATCTTTGAACAGAGGCGGGGGTTTACGACACCAACTCTCTGCCATCTATAATCCAGTTTTGAGATCTCTTCCCAGACGCCTTAACGCCCACTCACATCCTGGGCCATCTGATCTCAAGAATTCGCATGATAAGGTGGGGCCAGGTTTCACAATGAACACACCCGAAACTCTGGCTGATTGGGACCCACACCCAGTTTCACACCTTGGCTCATTGGATTAGAGGATCATCAGGGGGTCCTTTTGTCCCTCTGTGGGGGGAAACTCCCACTAGGTTTATATCTGGGACTCTCCACCATTTGACCTTAGAACTGAAGAAGCTTCTCGGATGAGAGGTGAAACGTCTTCAAGTAACTTAAAGAAGTCCAGACGCTTTTCTTTGCAAGCTCCTTTGACTACGATGACCTGGATGACTGAGAACCTTCACAGACATATTAATCTAACACTACAATAGAATCATCACATCTGTGCTGGAAAAGGGTGCATCTCTAATTTAAGTATATCAAACAAATGCTAAAAAAAAATAATTGAGGTGAAGGATTGGACCATAATTTGCACAAATGTAGTATCATGCACGCTGCAGCTGTTTTTCAGTTTTACAGAGGTGAATCATAGGGACGAAGAATCTAGCCCTCTAGCAGGCTGGGGTGTGTGCCATTGTTGGTGTGCCTTTTTTTTTTACATACAGAACAGTAATTCTGCCCAGCGAAATTGTCAGACGGTCCCTAACTCGGGTAGGCAGAGTAGTTGATGCTGAATCGCCGAGCAGCAGCAGCTCGCACTCAGTCCGTCGCTGCAGTCCAACAGAGCGACCGGTTATCAACATCCTCTCCGCGGAGCTGTAACGCTATGTGGGTCTGAGCTGATGGTCAGCGGTTCAGCCACGGCACGACACCACGGTGTTTCATTTGTGGACATGAGGACACCTGCTACAGCGACTCCTTTCAAAACGTGGACCGGGAATCCCGACAGGCATCGATTTTCGACGAGCATATGAGAAAGGTGGTGATGCAGCAGAGTGGCTTCCACACAAGAGACCGCCTCTGTCAATTCGCAGCCAGCCAGCCAGCTAGCTAGTGCTAGCCTTGTAGCCAAATAGCTAGCACCTGGGCAGGCTGAGGGTTTTAAAGCTCTGTCTTTACAACCTCCGGGGTAGCTCAAATGTCAACGGACCGAAACGCGTATGTCGGGCTATTTGTATTTATTGTGTGGGTTTCCCCCTGAGCGTTGACAGGAACTTTATTTTCCTTTTTTCTTTCCATTGCTAGCCAGTATTAGCCGGGTAAGTTAGCGCATTTGCTTGTTAGCTAGCGTTTTGTATTGGCTAATCACCTCACACAGGCTGGCACTGTCACAGAATGAACTTGGTATTCTGCGTGGAGACGCAGCTCCATACCAACATGATGGAAAAGTACAGGAAAAACAGGGCTCTGTTAACACTGTCTAGCGCCAACCCCGCAGGCTTTAGTACGAATAGCAATGTTTGTCTTTAAAGGGGTACTTGCTTCATTTCCATCCATCCTTTACATTCGCACTTGGAGCAGCTGCTGAGCCGAATGAGACATTTGCCCCACGTCTTCTTTCCACATCTGCCGGCACGAGGGAATAAAACCCTTATCTTTTCCAGTATAGCCCACGGGTGTTTAATAGGTGGGTTGATATTCAGATGTAGTACAGCACAGAAAACAGGCATGCAATGTACTTAGAAAGCGCGGCTTACTCCCTTTTTTTTGGCTAGAGTTTGGAACACAACTGTGCATTGTGTGTTACGTTTGTGCTTTTTATCATGATACATGTGTGGTAGCAAGAAATACACCACTGCAATAAGATGAAACTGTAGAAAGAAAGCTGTGCTCACTCTGCGGTGGCACTAAAGCCAGTATGCGTAAAGGACACTTGATCGAACAGATACTACACAAACTCTTGATACCTTAAGCCTCTTGGAAAATCTATCATTTTTCTCATGGCCAAAGGATTAAGTCTTTTGTGTGTGTTTGTGGAAAGAGAAAGAGAATGAGAGACTATTTTCCAGATGACATGTTGTTAAAATCACCATAGCAAGCCAAAAGGATTGTTTATTACTCTAATATATCAGCTCTTGCTTGATATAAGACATGCCATTTACTTGAGCTGTCACTTTGCTTTTGATTGTAATTCAGAGCTGTTTGGCTCAGTAGAAGCCTGTCAGGGAGAGTGCATGGTGAGAGGATACTAGTGGTTACAAAAGACATGCTGCCAAGGTGGAGAAATGACAACTGAAGGAAAGACTATAAAGGACATCAACTCGTCTATCCTGCCAGTGCATAGAGAGCATTGACTATCTAAAAAAAAATGGTAAAAAATGAAGGAAGGAAAAGGCAAGGTTTTTCTACAATGGTGTTTAGTCTGTTAAATATGCTCTCATTTGATTTTTTTTGTCTCCTAACTGAATGCCTCTGTGTACTTTTTTTCAGAACTATCATGGCCATGTTCCTGCTGACAAGTCACCCTGTTACTGAGGGATCTCTGCCTCTTTTGGTTTCTGGACCTACCAAAGCAGGGATGAGATAATAAAGTTAACCAGTCGGTGCATGCCGCTACAGCAACCCGTGGCACCTGTGAAACCCACCTTACCCCATCCCTAGTAAAGTCAATTTCAAACGGTCAAAAGATGACAACGCCGGCTCTACTACCGCTGTCGGGCCGCAGGATACCCACTCTGTCGCCGGGTGCCTCCTCCTTCCCGCACCATAGGGCCACGTTGAGGCTCTCTGAGAAGTTCATCCTCCTCCTCATCCTCAGTGCCTTCATCACCTTATGCTTTGGGGCCTTCTTTTTCCTCCCAGATAATTCCAAGCACAAGCGCTTTGACCTGGGCTTGGAGGATGTGCTTATCCCTCATATTGACACACCCAAGGAGGGCAAGCACGCCTCAGGACAGGTGATCATACATGGACAGGGAGGACACGATGAGCACAGACACAGGTAAGGGCCCACAGATGTATTGTTAAGTGTAGAAAAGAAAGAGCTAGCGTGTCTTCATTTAAATAAGTATATGTGTATATATATATATATATATATATATACACATATGCTTTCTCCCTCCTAAATCAGGGTCAGTGTTTGGTATCTCTAATAGTGTTGTGCCTTTTGGAATGCAGTGCTCTGCACAAGGTTCATGTGCATCTATCAAATGATATCTCAACTGACTCTGGAACACTGACAGAAACATTTACTTTTTTTAAAATCAGTATTTAAATGATAGAAAAGAAACTAAACCTTGTATTTACCTAATTTGTACTGCTGTGTTCATTTCAGAGCAGTGTGAGTGCCTCTGCTGCATTCATTTCTAGTCACGCCAGGTTCTCTCATAATTTCTCTCTGTTACCAGGCTGCAATCTGTGGGTTTCACTGTGTACGTGTACATATGAGGTGGGAAGGGTGGAGTAGAACACGTAGTGCAACACCAGAAGTGAAGATGGAGTTAGTCAGGTTAATGACAAGTGGTTTTCCAAGTGTTTCCCAACAAGTGTTCATCCAACTAACATGGAAAAACACCATAGAACACTAAATGTATGTAGATCTCATGGCAGGCTTGATCTCATGAGAGTACTAGCATTTCTTCTGCTGAGTTCCAGCTAAATTACCCAACAAGCACAGCTGTGATCCTCCTTTACTGAATAACATGCTAAAATGGACAGAAAACACAAGCTAGTGAAAATGCACAGATTCATTTTTAACATGCTGTTTCAAAATTACACTACACCGAACAACTGTCTAACAGTTGTAGGCAGTTTCCACTGCACATGCTGCAACGGTGCATTTTCACTGTTTCAATCAAAGTGGCTACACCGTGCGTAAGATTAGTGTGTAAGAAGTGGGAATATGCTGCGGAGATCTATTTAGCAATCACAAAATCAGACCGGTCTGAGGAATTGACACCAAAATCCAGTTAACAGCCAGTAGATAGTGACAGTTCCACAGTGCTGTGCTGTTTTCAAAAGCTAAAAACACAACAGAACCCATGAAATAAATCCTCAAGTCTTGTTTTCCTGTTAACTAACATAATCTTAAGTAGAACGTGCTCTTCAGGTGTATCTACTAACAAGCTCTGCTACACACATGTTCCACAAACATTACTGTGCTTTCAGTGTAGCCAAAGCACTAACAGTAGTTATTGTCCTTCTATTGGAGTGGTCTTTCGCTGGCATAACTCATTCACGTATGAATCATTCAAGCACATGCATATTATTTTGCAGCCACAAAATATTTATGACATGCATGAGTGCCAAAGGGCAGGTGAGAAGAACAATTTCATAGAAAAGGTCATCTGCAAGCTAGTAACGGACGTCATTAGTTTATCTGAAATCTTGGCAGGGTATTACCAAGCAGTTTCTCCCACAGTTTCAACGTTGCATTTTGCCTCCTTATTCCCTGTGATGCCCGTTCATATTTTCATTCTGAAAGCCTTTCTTTCAATGCTGCCTGCTTGAAATAACGTAATTGCTGTTGTCCAACGACTCAGACAAACAGAACAGGCAGTGCTGGGCTCAAATGGTGCTGCGTATTATCAAGTTTTTTTTGTTTTTTTTAAATGTCGAGGTGGGAAACTTGGAGTTATTCTTGCTTCACCATAAGTGGCAGTCATGTTTTGCTTCAAATACTTCTACTCTACTCGTCACTGAGGTCTTCTCGACTCTACTCCTATATTTCATTTCTGGGCACGTCCAAAACAAAATGGTCCCCAGGATGTTCCTGGGGACTAATTTACAAGTCATTTGAACGAGACAGGAAAAAAAATCAGACTAGTTAACTAGTGTAAAAGGCAGAAGACGCTGGGCGCAATCTAACAGACAAGGATAAACACTGACCTTAGAATAGCTGTGTATGAATTTAGGAGTCATTTGAGACCATTAACGGATTCCTCAACATTCAAATCTTGTTATGAATGTTGGTGAAATGTGCAGCACTTTGTGCCGTGTATACCGCTGGGGCCACACAGTGTCAGATTAGTTTGATAAATGTTTGCTAGCAGCAGTAGCCCCTTTCATGGCAGGCTAGCATCCACGTCTGTGCATAATGTGGTTACAAATTACTTGGACCACTTCAGTGTGGTTATATGCCAGTTTTCTCTCACACAGCCAACATACAAAAGTTCATTTTCTTCATCAATGTACTGCAGAGCTGTGGTGTTTCACGCAGCTGTCATCTTCTTACTTTCAATCTGTTTCATTTCAAGTTCCCTCACAGAGAGCGAGGGGGTCTCAGGCATTTGTCAGGGCTGCAGCACTAGTTGGTCTCAGGTGGCGTTGTAACATCTTTGAACCAACAGGTAACTTAGTAAAACAACAATAATAGATTTAACCGACTAGTATTTCTGGTGCCTACTAGCAAGAGTAGCAGTGTATAAATGTCTTGTTGACCGTGCACATGCCTAGTGTGAACGCAGTTAGTCTTGTGAACTGTGTCACTATAAAGCTGGAACATGGGAGTTTTACATATAATTAAACGTGCGTTACATTTAGGCCTTTCCTAATTTGAACTAGTAGATGGATAGTTCAAATTTCATCACCTTGGAGTATGTTATACATATCAGTATGTTTTAGTAAATCAGAATTTGAAATCTGATGTCTGCTTAAACACTTCCTCACTGGTGTGTCGAACTGGATGAATTTTAAATCAGCTGCGAGCGATTGGTTTTCCAGAGCTACAGAGGAACGTGACGTAGCATCAGACACACACAGCAGTATACTAACTGAGGTTATCGTCATGGGGGATAAACTTAGCTTCTGAGAAAGTCAGATAGAAAAAGAAACTTGACATTCGCAGGAAGAATTATAGCCTTCAAAAAATGGATTGATATGCATTACAAGGGCTCGGCAACATTGCTTTAAACTTCCATGCTGCAGGCTTGAAATAAATCCCATTCAATGTACTCTTCATGTTTTGGGTAAGCTGTTTAAATGAGATTCCAGTAGGTTCAGTGTGCAGTCACAGATGGCAGAAGGCATTTCTTCTTCTTCTTAATGAACTGAATACTTTTTTTTATATTTCTTTATTTTTTTATAGCCTTTTTCAGCTTTGTATTCAGATTCATGGATTTTTAATTGCTTAGTGAGCAACTCCTTGGAATTAATAACATGGCTGTGAGCGGGGGGGAAAAAAGCTACACAGTTATGAGCATCTTCACTGCCGTCCATTTTCAAGGATATACCAAGGACAGAAAAAATATAAATACGTTGCTTCACATTTGACGGAAATTAAGAGGAGTATATGAAATGTGATTAAAATACAGCCACTGAGATGTCACTGTGTTTTACAGAGGAAAAGTAATCGTAACCTTCCTGTCTGGAAATTAGTTTTATGCAAATTCAAAGTCAGGAATATGTGCTCCGTGTATTTTAACCTTACACAAGCATTCATGTGAGGTGTTTTTATCCTCTCCACCCCTTCTTATAACAGCTTATTGAAATCTGTTCAGTTTGCTTGTTGGTATAGCTGCCTCAGCTGTTCTTAAAGTGGTTATTGTGTGCTCCAGAGGACTCTGGGTTCAAACAGCCTCAGGAAAATGAGGTGTGCTAGCATTTAAAGAGACCCGCAGGAACCCAAACACGCTCATAATAATTTCACCTTTGCTTTATTCGGCCGCAGAAACCCCCACAGAACCAGTTCTTTGTTCACGAGCTCAACCTGTTAATAGTCCTGTAAAGCTTATGAGGGAGAAAAGGTTATTAATCTATGCTGGTATCCAGCCATTGAATTTTTGGAGAAACGAAATGTAACGGGGAAGAGGTATGTGTAGCCTTGCTCACATGGTGCCGGACTGAACATTGAGTGTTGGTTTTTGTAAACACCCAGGAAGAGTTGCGCTGCTTCCAGGGTTTCCCTTGGTTTCTGTGGGCTTATTCAAAAACAAGTTAACTTTTAGTTTACTTGATGTTTTTCGCTTTGGTAGTTACATAGCATGACCAGTAGGTGGGTTTGCAGGTTAAATTGGTTTAACTGGACCCTTATGTGACTGATGAGCAATGACATGCCTGAGTTTATTGTAGAGACATAAGAAGAACTTGTTAAGCTTCTAACATTTTGAAAATAAAAACAGCCCGTAATAAAATAACCCACTTAAGAGTTGAAAGTTGCCCTGTTGCTGTAAATACGTGTCACTGAATATAATGCAAGGCATCGTAACCTTCCTGTCTGCAAGGCATTATTTTCTGGTCAAGCATCTGTATTTTGGCTAGTATGATGCTTCGGTGATTATTTAGCATCTTTCAGCATAATTTTGAGTTTTCTACCTGAACAGTAGAGGGTGTTTCTCTGCTGAGGTTTTCAGATCAGCACTGAAATAGTTGGCTTTTAAAACTGAAGATATTTTAGATCTTCCACCCATTATCTTATTAAAACTATGCTGAAGACAAGTAACAAGATGCTTAACAGACATTAAAGAATGGAGTTGTTAGATTGGTGGAACATTCAAGGAAGTTCTTTGCATTTCTGTTCTGACTTATACCATGGCTGCTTATTATATTGGCTTATTATATTGATGCCATAATACCTGAGAATTAAATCTTTCGCCTTATGTAAAGATCCTTTTGGTAAATAGACATTTAAAATCAGAATGGATGTTTACAAGTTTAAGTCTTAGGCTTTGCTGTTTGAATGCTCGGCTATAAAGCCCAGTTGAGCTCAACATACTGTGAGGCCAGTAATGATCCTGCCTTGGGTTTGTTCTGTTCTGGCTCAAACAACATAGGACTAGCCAGGTGCAGCACTGTAATCTGTAAAAGGGGCAAGAGGGCATGTTGGCAGAAGCAGTGACATTTTATCAGCTACAGTAGAAATGTAGAAGTCAGAGAAAAATGATCCTTATTCTAACCCTTTATGATCACATATACAGACATCCTGGTTGGTATTTAGTGTTGACTGGATGGATAGTGGTTTTAGGTATTACAAGACAAATTTAAAATGTGTTTGGACTTTAAAGA